TAATAATTTAATAAAAAATAATTTAAATTTACAATTTTCTTCTAAAAATATTTTGATTTAAAAATATTTTTTAAATATTATCTAAAAATATTTTTACAATTTATTTTTTTTGTTCTTCCTAATCTTTTTAATGTCATCCTTTTTACGTTTATTTTTATTCTCCCTTTTATATTCTTTCTTCTTATCTTTCTCCTCTTGTAATTTTTCAAACTCTATTGCTGCATTTATTAATAAATGATCTAGCCCATCTTCGAGCAGTGAAATTTTTTAATTATAAGTACTAATCATAATTTAAATTTTTAAACATTAGTACAAAAATGAACTAATTAATTAATGTTTTTAATTACCATTTCTAAATTCTTCAATTTCTCTTAATCTCTCTGTTTCAGTCTGCCTATTTCTTTCATCTAATTCTTCAATTCTTAATTCTTGCATTTCACTCGATTTATCGTTGGATTGATTACCCATTTCGTTGATGACATTTAATATGTGAAACCAGCTACTTATATATATAGATTTATAAAATGACAGTCAAATTGAAAATTGATAGAGAGACAACTTAAACATTCCGGTTTCGTAGGGAAAAAAAAGAAATTAAACCCATCGTTACCATCTCCGAATTTGAAAAATTTTGATACCGGTTTCAAGAAAGTCGATCCATTAATGAATGAGTAGTTCACGGTCAGACAGACAGAGAGACGTCAGCTACTTATATATATAGATATAGAAAAAAAACACCATCGTCGCCATCCCCGAAAAATTTTAAAAATTTTGATATCAATTTCGAGAAAATCGGTCCATAAATGTGGAAGTAGTTCGCGGTCAGACAGACAGACACCAGCTACTTATACAGGGTGTTCCAGGAGGAAAGGTCAATATTCTGGGAAGTGATCGTATCGGTTATTTTAAGCAAAAATGTTCATATGAATATATGTCCTATTCCCCACGGTTTCCGAGATAGAGCGACTTGAATGTACGTCTCGTGTATTCACTTTTCTTCTGTACACTTTAATCTTCATCCGTGAACCTGTACAGTGAAACGTACAGAAGAAAAGTGAATACACGAGACAAACTGCTCGCTCAAATAATGGATGCTAGTGCCCGCATAAAGGAACGTCACGATGTACTCAGACGAGCAACACGCCATGTTCACACAACAGTTGAAAAATGCATTAATGTTAACTGTGGAATTTTTGAAAATTTATTACATCTGTAAAAAATGTATCACTTGAACAATAAATATTAAAAATAGTACGTAGTATTTTTTTCTTGTCAGTAATTTTGCAACTGTACATTCAAATCGCTCTATCTCGGAAATCGTGGGTAATAGGACATATATTCATATGAACATTTTTGCTTAAAATGACCGATACGATCACCTCCCAGAATATTGACCTTTCCTCCTGGAACACCCTGTATATACAGGGTGGCCCCGAACGTTCCAGCCAGACTTTGAGATCTTATAGGAAATTTAATTTTGAACAAAAAATTTCCTATAAACATGGGTCGAAAAATGCTTTCTTAAAAAGTTATCGCTCAAAAACCTTTGAAATCGTGATTATTTTACACATTTTTTCAAATATCATAGAAAATTTGCGTCTTTTAACAAAAAGTACCGAAACAAAAGTTGTAGAAAATTTAATTATATTAATTGGGAGAAAATGGCAATCAGAGCCAGGCGTGGTAGTTGGAGCGCAAACAGTTTTTTATTATGTAATATTCTCTACATTTATAGGACGTTTCGGCCTCTTTTTTAGGCCATCCTCAGCATAAATTAAACTTATTACATAGGTTTACGGTCGCATGGGTTTAGTCGGTTACTAACACGAACATTAATAACATGAAAATAAGAGCATTGTCGCAGGGCGTGGCATCCACAAATTGTCAGAAAGATGGAAAAAATGTATAGCTAGCAATGGGCAATACTTCGAATAAAATATTTTTTATCATTTTCATACAATAAACGTGTATTTTTTATACAAAAATTCCGGTTTCATATTTATGTACCTGGTACATTGTATAAATTAGGAGAACCAGGCTCAACGATTATCAACGTACTAATGATAGATGGTGAGCATAACAGGTGACGAGAAAAAACAAAGGAGTCAACAACAATAAGTACATACAAACAGCAAACGGCGTGACATTGTTATTGTAAATAAAAAGAAAAACGATCTCGAATTACAAGAGTAATCAGGCGAATTAAACGATATTGTTATTATAAATAAGACGAAAGACGATCTCGAATTACAAGAATAATCGGGCGAAATAAACATATGACTTAAAAATATAATTAAATTCAAAGCTATTGGTGACATGACTGTGTGCGGTGGGAAAACTTTTAAGCATAATGCGATGTATGAATGAAGCTAAGTTATATAATGGAAAATTAAATTATCTTTCAAATCAGAGGTTTTTGAGCGATAACTTCTTAAGGAAGCATTTTTCGACCCATGTTTATAGGAAAATTTTTGTTCAGAGTTAAATTTCCTATAAGATCTCAAAGTCTGGCTGGAACATTCGGGGCCACCCTGTATAGATATAAATAAAACTACCACAATACAAAAGAATATCTTATCTTTAAGACTTATTTTTTTAATAATTTTCTCATATTATATATATATCAGAAGTATTTTCTATATAAATATATATATGTAATAATTTAGACTAATATAAATCTATGTATATTAAAACTGAACAATTTTCTAATGCTGCAGAAATTAAATCCCATCTTTTTGTGGTATTGCTAATATACAATACATGTATTTTAAAGTACCGTTATAATACCTTACATAACGTGCACTTATTTTCTGCAATAACTCTTTTTATATCATATACATCGAAATAATTTGTCTAATGTACACGTATATAAACCGATGTAAAGCTATGTATATTAAAAAATTTATACAATTTTTTGGTCCCGCTAAAATACTATTCCCAAATATACAGGGTTTGTCAAAAGTATGGAAACCCCTAAATAACTTTTGTAAAAATGAAAATATCAAAAAACGGTAAAACACGTATTTTGATTTATCAAAAAAGCTACCCTATGACATGGATACCGATCATCCCCCACCCCCTGGTACGCGGGGGTAAGAGGGGGGTTGAAAATTTTAAATTGGATTAAGGGTCAAGTGGGGACTCGTTTGAAAGGTCTTTTCATAACAAACACACCCTTAAAATTTTAAGTCGCTACGACCCCCTCATTCAAAATGGCGGCCGTTCAAATTTCGAAATTTTATGCATTTAGTGTTATCCAGGATCAACTGCGTGGAAGTGGCATGAATTTGATCCCTTGTGTGTGTGTGTGTGTGTGTGTGTGTGTGGGCGCGTGTTGCTAAACAAGTGTGAATGTGTACATAGTGGTGATAGGTTGCAGAACAGACGGTTAAAAACTATTATCTCTCTTTAATGATTCAAAACCTTTTACTCCGTGTTTTAAAATCAAGAGACACGGTAGTGTCTCGCGCCAAGTCATGCGCAGCAACAGCAAGGCGTACCGTGTATCTTCACGCGAACCGGTCAGTTGAGAGTAACTGAAATTATTAGATTTCAATAACGGCTGGACTGATTGAGATCTTACTAGGCTTAATTGAGAGCTTGGGTATTAATTATATAACAAAAATATCTTTATTTTCACTCTATATGTCGTGAACGGCTATATTATGACGCAAAGTCACAATGTGGAAATTTTAAGAAACGTCACGTCGACGTCGTAGTCGACCACATGAAAATGTACTTTTCTAGCTTTACACGCAAGATGGCGTTAGTTGAAATTACGGTCGATAAACGTGCATATGCAATATCGATTACGTTTACGTAATAAATGATGTTACTTATAAATTCTATTTTGGTGGCGCGTGTGAATGTGTACATAGTGGTGATAGGTTGCAGAACAGACGGTTAAAAACTATTATCTCTCTTTAATGATTCAAAACCTTTTACTCCGTGTTTTAAAATCAAGAGACACGGTAGTGTCTCGCGCCAAGTCATGCGCAGCAACAGCAAGGCGTACCGTGTATCTTCACGCGAACCGGTCAGTTGAGAGTAACTGAAATTATTAGATTTCAATAACGGCTGGACTGATTGAGATCTTACTAGGCTTAATTGATAGCTTGGGTATTAATTATATAACGAAAATATCTTTATTTTCACTCTACATATGTCGTGAACGGCTATATTATGACGCAAAGTCACAATGTGGAAATTTTCACTTAAGAAACGTCGACGTCGTAGTCGACCACATGAAAATGTACTTTTCTAGCTTTACACGCAAGATGGCGTTAGTTGAAATTACGGTCGATAAACGTGCATATGCAATATCGATTACGTTTACGTAATAAATGATGTTACTTATAAATTCTATTTTGGTGGCGCCACATAAAATCAAGAGACACAATAGTAATCTGTTAGTATCTTGCGCCATTTCAATAATCGTCTAACAAAGAACCGTAAAGTATCGATCAAGATCAGTGGTAATTGGTAATGAGAAAAATGAAAGGAATAGACAAGACGGATAATAAAAATAAGAAAATACAGGAAATGGACAAGAAAGGACAGAATAACGTAGGTACATTAATAATAATATTTTCATAGTTTTTTTAATGATAAAAGCACAAACTTCTATATATTATATTAGATCGCTCTAACAATGTACCAAAAGTGATGCAAGGGCAGCCATATCTTATAAAGTTTGCTTGCCAATGATTCGCATATTCCTTATTTTTATATGTACACTATTGTATACTTGATATTTTCTACTGTTTTACTTTCAAAATTCATTAATATGACATTAATAATTAAATATGACTCTGCCCTTTATAATATATAGAAGTCTCTAGGTATAAATATTGATCAAAAACATACAGTAAATTTTTAGCAGGAAGAGTTCTTTGAAATATTATATTATTAATTATAAATTATTTATTATAATTATCTTTATTTTTCAGACTTTAAACGAAGAAGAATTAAATATAAGTATTAATACAGAAAATTATTTTCTACGAGTAGAATTGGAAAATATTAAAAAGCAATTAGAAGTTGCTGTTGCGAACAATGAGATGCTACTACAGCGGCAGCAGCAGCTCCAGCAGCCTCAACCTCCGTCAATTCCTCCACCTGCACAGCCACAGATTCCAGCTCCACAGCAGCCAGCTACGTTGCAAATGATTCCACCGCAGCTGGCTTCGTCACAAGAGAAAAGTGATGAACAAATTCTAAGTAAGTTATTAAATAAAAATAACGTAAATAAATTTAAATAAAAAAATAAAAAAATAATTATATGTATTAAAAAATACTACTCTTTTATTTTGTAGCAAAGCAAAAGCCTGTACGCTGGCAACGAGCAGGGAGGGGAAATAATAGACGGAGGGGAAATAATAGAACTTATAGAAGACATCCCCATGGTCGGAAGGGCAGTAATATTATTATTCATATGTGGTAAGTCATCATACAAAGAGAGTTAAATATAAAATATAAATAAAAATATATATACAATAATAAATAATATATTAATTACAGAACTGCGGATTTCAAAAACTGCCTGTTCAAGAAACTGAAGACTGAAAACTGAAGAACTATTTAGCTTTTTATTCAAAGAGACTACTTGTTACAATTTTTTTTTTAAATGATACATATATGAGATTTTATGAGATTTATGTGTAATCTTAAAGACGTATAATATGATGATGCAAGGTTAAGTTAATAATTTTAAGTAGCATATATAAGCACATTTATTTTTGTATCTAATGATTCTTACTTTTAAACACGAAATTTAATTTTTTTCCATATGTATCACATTTTTTTTTTTTGAATCTATGAGATTCATGTGATATTTAACGTTAGTATGATATAATTTTAAGTATAATGTATGAAATATATGATGTCAAGATAATTAATAAATAAATATTGTATAATTTAAATATGTTCTCTAATAGTTTTCCTTCATATATCTCTCTCTCTCTCTCTCTCTTTCTTACTTCTTCTTTCATTTCATTCTTTGTGCATTTTCGAGGTACTCAATATTGCAAAAGTAAGAATCATTAGATACAAAAATAAATGTGCTTATATATGCTACTTAAAATTATTATTAACTTAACCTTGCATCATCATATTGCACGTCTTTAAGATTACACATAAATCTCATAAAATCTCATATATATATTATTTAAAAAAAAATTGTAACAAGTAGTCTCTTTGAATAAAAAGCTAAATAGTTCTTCAGTTTTCAGTCTTCAGTTTCTTGAACAGGCAGTTTTTAAAATCCGCAATTCTGTAATTAATATATTATTTATTATTGTGTATATATTTTTATTTATATTTTATATTTAACTCTCTTTGTATGATGACTTACCACATATGAATAATAATATTACTGCCCTTCCGACCATGGGGATGTCTTCTATAAGTTCTATTATTTCCCCTCCGTCTATTATTTCCCCTCCCTGCTCGTTGCCAGCGTACAGGCTTTTGCTTTGCTACAAAATAAAAGAGTAGTATTTTTTAATACATATAATTATTTTTTTATTTTTTTATTTAAATTTATTTACGTTATTTTTATTTAATAACTTACTTAGAATTTGTTCATCACTTTTCTCTTGTGACGAAGCCAGCTGCGGTGGAATCATTTGCAACGTAGCTGGCTGCTGTGGAGCTGGAATCTGTGGCTGTGCAGGTGGAGGAATTGACGGAGGTTGAGGCTGCTGGAGCTGCTGCTGCCGCTGTAGTAGCATCTTATTGTTCGCATCAGCAACTTCTAATTGCTTTTTAATATTTTCCAATTCTACTCGTAGAAAATAATTTTCTGTATTAATACTTATATTTAATTCTTCTTCGTTTAAAGTCTGAAAAATAAAGATAATTATAATAAATAATTTATAATTAATAATATAATATTTCAAAGAACTCTTCCTGCTAAAAATTTACTGTATGTTTTTGATCAATATTTATACCTAGAGACTTCTATATACTATTATAAAGGGCAGAGTCATATTTAATTATTAATGAATTTTGAAAGTAAAACAGTAGAAAATATCAAGTATACAATAGTGTACATATAAAAATAAGGAATATGCGAATCATTGGCAAGCAAACTTTATAAGATATGGCTGCCCTTGCATCACTTTTGGTACATTGTTAGAGCGATCTAATATAATATATAGAAGTTTGTGCTTTTATCATTAAAAAAACTATGAAAATATTATTATTAATGTACTTACATTATTCTGTCCTTTCTTGTCCATTTCCTGTATTTTCTTATTCTTATTATCCGTCTTGTCTATTCCTTTCATTTTTCTCATTACCAATTACCACTGATCTTGATCGATACTTTACGGTTTTTTGTTAGACGATTATTGAAATGGCGCAAGATACTATTGTGTCTCTTGATTTTATGTAGCGCCACCAAAAGAGAATTTATAAGTAACATCATTTATTACGTAATCGGTATTGCATATGCACGTTTATCGACCGTAATCCATAATACTTATATTCATTATGTCGTTACTTATAATGTTGATAATGTAGTAATGCAATAAGTGTCGGTAATGTAATAAATTCATATATCGATAAAAAGAAAAGTATTATCGATCAATACGATTATCAAAACTATCAACATGTCGCTGCTGTGATTTCTGCATAAGGTCAATAATAAATATGGCGTGATATACTATGTTTCGAGTACATCAGTTGTTATTACATATCATAGTGCAATTACATTTAATAAAAGCGAAAGGTGAAAGACGTGAAGCGATGAAAAGGAAAGGTACAAATAAGGTATATTTCAAAAAATTTATGTTTTATATATGTAGACTCATTATAATACCGTTTGTTTCAATATTTTTGCATAAAAAACTTCTGCTAAATATTTCTCATTTATTCACTCGTTCTTTATTTAATCTTTTTTTGTAAAACAAAGTTTCGAAAAATTAAAATCGTTGCTCAATATTCTTAAAAGAATAATTAAGCGTTAAAGATGAAATTTATGAAGGTTAAAAATTTAAAGTGAGCGGATTAAACTAAATATTTATCAAATTTTTTTTATTTTTAAATTTGTTATTATATTTCTAAGTAATGGTGTGAAATAATGCACTCACACATCAA